ACCGCGAGGCGCCCGCCGACGCCGTCGACGTCCGCGCCCATGCGCTTGACCCTCAGCTGCCTGCAGTGCGCCTTCTCGGCCGAGAAGGAGGCGCTCGCCCTCTCGCAGCTGGCGCGGACCTGCAGCTGGAGGTCGCTCGGGGCCCCTACGAGCTTGCAGGCCAAAACCTCCTCGACGATCTCCGGCGCATCGAAGTCGTCGATGTAGCCCTGCCACCAGCCAGCGTCCTGGCCGCTGCCAGCCTCGACCAGGGGCCGCGCGCAATCCTTGCGCCACTCCCCGTCTAGGGGAAGCCCCGCCCAGAGGGGCGGCGCCAGGCGGCACAGCCGTCGGTGAATGTGCTGGAAGACGGGCACCGCAAGCGACCAGCCCATGGCGATGACAGCCGAGGTCTCGTAGACGACGGGCTCCGAGCGGCCAAGCAGCTCGCCCGCGAGCGGCCGCCCCGCGGCCGTGTAGGGGTGCCACGCGGGCGAGACCCGCCCCACGAAGAAGGCCCCCTTCTGGTCGTCGCCCGACCACAGCAGCAGCTTCCCGTCGGGGATCACGACCGCCGTCCAGGACGCCGAGGCCGCGAGCAGCGCCGCCTCGCCCACGTGGGCCTTCAGGAGCGAGTTGCCTGGCACCATGTCGGGGATGAGCCTGGTGGCCCGCGTGGCACCAGGCGCTGGGGTGCCCTTCTTCTCCACCGCGAACAGGCCGATCAGCGCGGGCTCGCCCCTCGCGCGGACCAGCTCGCTCTCCGCGAGCGTGGTGAAGATGCTGGGCGACACGAGGTGCAGCACCAGCTCCTCCCAGTCCGCCTCCGTCTCCACGTTCACGCGGGCCCGCGGCGACGGGTCGGGCCAGTCGGACTGGTCGAGGAGCGCCAGCTCGGGGCGGCGCAGCCAGGCGCCGACCTCGGCGCCAACGAAGTCGGTCGCGTCGAGCGTGGCAGCGCACTCCCGCGTGGGCAGGCCAGGAGGCAGCTCGCAGAGCCGGCAGGGGAGGGCCTTCACGCCTGTCTCGCCCTCGTACGCTGACTCGCAGCCGCCCGCCAGCTCGTCGATCGCAGGGACCACGACCATGGCGAGCGGGTCCTCCGCCAAGGCCGCCGCTCGGCTCTTCAAATGCACGTAGACCCGCGTCTGCGCCTTCGACAGGGTCAGCCTGTGGCGCCAGCCTTCCTGCGAGCGGCCGCAGAACGCGCAGTTGAGCGCAACCACGCTGAGGTGCAGCCACGCCTGCTCGCTGACCTCCCGCGCCACGGCGCGGCGGCGGCACCTGCGTGCCTTGGGCAAGGCACTGTGGGCCAGCCAGCGGCCCACCTCCTCGGTCGACGGAAGGGGAAGCGGCAGGGCGTCCCGAACCCTCCTGTTCGACGACCCTCCGCTCCCACAAAATGTGTCCGCACGCATGCTGAACGACCGAGCGAAGTGGCCAAGGCTGCCTGGGTGGCGTCGTACTGCTGCTGCCAGCTGCGCCGCCAGGTCGACCGCGACGATGCTCTTGCCGAAGCCGAGGGGGAGCTCGTCGGCCCAGCACGGCAGCGCGGTGGCCAGCGGGGGCTCCGCGACGCCCTCACCCCCCTCGCATGGGGTGGCACGATCTCCGCTCTCGGTAAACCGAGTTTGGCCTCCGCCGCGGACTCCCCCACCAGCACCCCTTCGCAGGGCTCGCGCCTTTGATGGAGGCGTCGGCCACCCTCCCTGAGGAGGCCCCACCATAACGCGGGGCAGGCGGCAGGCTGCCGCCCCTCAGGTCCGACGGGGGCGCGCCGCAGCGCGAGCTTTGAAGGCTCGCAGGCGGTGCAGGGTGTTCGTCCCCACTGGCTGCTTCGGGAATTCCTTCCGCATCTCCGCGAAGGACATTTTCCACGGCGGTGGGGCTGCCGACCCCTGGCCAACAGACGGAGGCGCCAGCGGCGGGCGCGCCCCCGTCGGGCCCCCGCCCCATCCTGGCGTCTTGGCGGAGGCCAGGAGCGCGGAGAGCTCGTCCAACCTCATCCCGCCGAGCTGGATGCCGCGGATGAGCTCCTCCTCCTCGCTGCAGATGGTCGTGGGATCGTTGCGCGGCGGGGTCAGCGCCAACCACCTCGCCGCTGCCCACGAGCCGTCCGCCGTTGCCACCTGCAGCGCCTTTAGGCGCTGGACGATCAGGTCGCAGGCGTGGGCCACCTTCCCCTGCATCCGCAGGTCCACCGCCTCCGCGAGGGTGCAGAGCACACGGTACGTCTGCACGCCGATCTCCTTCACCGGATGCTGCGGCAGGCAGATCGTGAGGAGGTACCGCAGCGCGATCGGGCCCGTCGCGTCGACGGCCGCCTCCCCCCTCCTGCGAGTCCAGGAAGTCCGCCATCTGCTGCAGGCTCAGCTCCGTGAGGCGGTCCGTGGAGGCGGCGGCCATCCGACGACAGAAGGCCCTCCTCGTGGCCAGGTCGCGCGGCACCGCCGCGGGGTCCAGGGAGCCGAGGCCGTACCCGCCGCTGCCGCCAGAGGGGAGCCTCCTTGCCCTCGCGGATGGCCTTCGCGACCGCCTGCGCCAGCTCCGCCGTGCCGCCGCTCAGACCAGCTCCTGGCGGCGCCCGCTCGGGCACGGGGCCCCCTGACCCTCGGGGGCCCGCGTCCGAGGCGGCCCTCGTGAGCTTCGCGGCGCGCTCGACCAGCAGGTCCCCGAGCGACCGCTTCTTCACAGGCTCCCTGCCAGTCGCCTCTGCGCCGAGGGGGAAACCGCTCAAGCTGACGCCCTCAGCAGCCCGCTCCCCTTCCTCGAGGCGCACGCGAGCCCCTGCGAGCTTGCCCCCCCAGGCCGCCCGCGGAAGCTGCCTCCTCGTCTGCGGCCAGCTCTGAGCCAGGGCCGCGCGACGAGCCACCCATGCTTCGCAAGTCGTCGAAGGGGGCAGCGCCAGGCGGAGCCCTGGGAGGACCCGCTGCGGCTGGCGGGCGACCCGTCGCTTTGGCCACCGCCGCAGGCCTCGCGGGGGCGGCGGCGGCGACCAGCGGCCCGAGGCATGCTCCTGGCCAAGCCGCCTCCGGTTGCCCCTCCTGGCACTCGACGAACAGCGCCCGCAGGTCCGTGAGGCCGAGCTCCTCCCCCTCCGCCACGTGGACCAGCTCGGTGCACGTCCCCCGCCCCTCCACGACTGAGCACGGGCTCCCCGAGCACACGTGGATGAGCGGGCGTTCTGCCACCGCGCTCGGCTGCCCAGGCTGGCTGGCCCACCAGTCCCAGTAGCCGTCGTCGCGGACTAGGAACTCGGCCTTCGCGAAGCGCCGCGGCGGCACTGCGCTGGAGATCCGCAGCGCCCGCCACGCGAACCGGCACTGCACAAGGCCGCCTGCTGTGCTGCCCGTGCTGCAGTAGCATTCGCCCTGGGCCACCGCCAACAGGTCGATCGGCACGGGCCCGTACACCTCGGGCGCGGGCACGACGGCTTCCAGTGCCTCCCAGACGTCCTCGTCTCCACCGTCGAGGTCCTCGAAATCCGCCTGGGCCACCCAGCCACGCGCTTGCCGCGAGTCAGGCCAGCGACCGCCCCCTCCCAGTGCTGCCGCCAGGAGCGCGAGGAGGGCGGATGGCGGGCCTCGCAGCAGGCCTCGCGGCCACCGAGACTCTCGTGGCCGTGACCCCAAAGAATGCATGGATCCTAAAGCCCAAACAGGCTACGGACGTGTTGGGGCGGCGTGTCCTGGCCAAAGGGGGGAAGGCGGGTATACGCATACAGGGAACCAGTATACGGACATATATAATGTGTACGTATGTGTGTGTGAACATACGTAAAACCACATGGGATTGGAACCACTCCTGTTGCCTTCTGAGGCCGCCTGCTCCTGGGGCCCCTCGTGGAGTCATGTTCCCTTCTTGGGCCTCCTGCGGCTTCCTGGAGTTTCCTGGGGCCTCCTGGAGCCTCTTGGGACATCACGTGGCCTCTTGAGTCTTCATGTGGCCTCCTGATGGAGCCTCCACTGTGGCATCCTGGGGAGAATATGCGCCCACGAGTCTGGCAACCAAAACAAGCAAACCGAACGAGACAATGGCCCCTTGGGGGGGGGCGAAAATGAGCGCCTCGCTCGAAACATCCTCCAAACCTGCTCCGAAAGCAAAGGATGTTCGGGACCAAAACAGGCAAACCGCCTGAGACATCTCCGCCATTTCGGCGCGGACGGAGGCCGTGAAATACCCCTGGCGCCCCCCCCCCCCCTTAGGAGGCGCCTCGCACGAGACATCCTCAACATCTGCTCCGACAGCGGAGGATGTCGGGGACAAAACGGGCAAACCGCCTGAGATGTCCCCACCATTTGGGCGCGAACGGAGGCCGTGAGATACATACCCCCTGGCGGCACCCATTAGGAGTGATACAACCAGCAAGCCGCTCGAGACATCCTCACCATCTGCTAACCGTCATCATCAGCATGATCATGGTCATGATCATGATCATGAGAATGACCATGATCATGCTCATCATCATCATCAGCAGCAACATCATACTCATCCATCAGCCACCATCACCGTCATCACACTCATCCATCGCTCACCATCACCATCGTGCCCACATCATACCCTCACTATACCATGGTCAGCATCATGGTATGGGTGGTCCCGCGCGGGCGGAGAATAACAGGAACCCCATCCTTGGGATATGGGGAATCACAAGAACCCCATCCTCTGGATATGGGGAACAATCAATCCCCAGAATGACCACCCCGGCAAGCGAGGCCGTTTCGCAAGCGCACCCAAAACAGTAATCGAACAGGGCAGGGCTGTTGGCTCCCGCTCCCTTCCCTCCTTTTTTCATTGGCTCAAACACCAAGGTTCCGAGCCCGCACCTGGCCTTTTTTTTTTTCTTTATATATATATATATATATATATATATATATATGTCCTCCCTTGGCCATCGGCGATGAGAGGGCGATCTGGGGTCGACGCCCCCCTTAACGCTAACCCCTGAGGCTTGCCGAGCCCCGTGCCAGTGGACGAGGGGGGGGGGGAGCAGGCTGCGAGGAAAGCAAGGGGCTGGTATCCTCGACGTGCCGCAGGTCCTCCTGGCGCGGCGGGAGCTGCGGGGTCGAGGAGGCAACTGGTGCGGGTCGGACACTGGCCACGCCTCTCGGGTCAGCGTTTCTTATTCGGCGTTTCGACGTTGAGCGAAAAGGGGGGGCAGGGGGGGGGTCTGGCTCAGGACCTCTGCTTAGTGCGACTGTTTGCAAGAGTGCTGCTTCTGGGGGAGGCTCCACCCGCTCGAAGCAGGCGCCAGAAAACAGCGAAGACCTGCTCCATGGGAGGGGGAGGGGGGTGGATGCGATGGCCCGCGCCGATCGGCAAAACACTGAATAAAAAACGATCACCTGTCGTCGTTGGCCTTCGAGAACTGTTTCGTGATGGCGTCTCGAGTCAGGGACGTCCGTGCCGCTGAAACGGTCGTCGGCTTCGGGCTCTGACGAATTCCAAGATGGCACCATTCATCATGCCAGTGATGCGCGATACTGAACTTCGCCGCTGCAGTCTCATTGAGCCGACAAGGGCACTGAGATGCGACCGCTGAGATACGACCTCCTCCTCCTCCTCCTCCTCCTCCTCCTCCTCCTCCTATCTGCGACACCCTGATTGCCGGACTGGGGCCCCAGCGCTAGTGGAAAATGATCAAATCTCCGCGGCGCCCGCCGCACAGCAACGACGACGGCGACGACGAGACGAAGGAAGAGATTGTGAGCAACGCCTTCGGCGAAGAATGTGTTTACTGCAGGTCCGTGCCGTGTCGACCCTGGCGTTGGTTCCTGACACCGCGCTGGATCGTTCAACCTTGAACGATCGGCCGTCTCCGCAACGTCCGATCGTTCAACATCGACCGATTCTGGGCCGCCGGCGGCGTTCAACGTTGAGCGTCGGCGGCGGGGTCGCCGCCGGTCGACACGACGCGAACCTACTGTAGGGGTGCTCAAAGTTCCTCTGTCGTGCAGGGTAACCCAGGGAGCATAATTCCCTCGGAGGAAGATGCCCCCAACATTATCCAGTCCGCCCAACAATACGATGAAAAAAGTCGCCGCCGCGACGACGACGATGGTTACGACTACGATTGCGATTACGACTAAACCGACGACTACAACAACGACTATGATTACGACTACAATCACGATTGCAACCGCGACTACAATCACGACTGCAACCACAACCACTGCTTCCTATCGCAATTTCTTGCAGAAGATGCTCACATATCGCAATGTTCCCTGAAAGAAAAATTCCCCAAACAGTATCTAGCCCGCCAAGTAATAAAGGAAAATTATCTCCGCCGCGGCGACGACGACGCCGACGCCGATGACGATCACGAGGAGGAGCAGGATGAGGAAGAGGGGGGAAAGAAGGAGGAGGGGAAGCAGGAGGAGGAGCCAATGTTTCCCCCGCCGAGGAAAACAGGGGAGGGTGTAAAACTGAGACCTCCTGAGGTGTGTAGTGGTTGTGATATCCCTTGTTGGTTCAGACCAGCAGGGCCAGAATGCCAATCGGATGCCCCCCCGGCAGCAATGGCCCTCAACAACGCCCTGGGAGGGCCCCGCACGGGCACTGAGGACCCCGAAAGGCCCCCAGAGAAGGCCGCATTCGATGGACACGCCGGTCTTCAATGTTTGATGGGGTCCACGTTGCCGCCTTAGATGGGACGCACAAACACTTTTTTGATTCGCGGGTCGAGAGCGCACCTCTTCCGGTCGAAGCTGAGCGGGCCGCGCGAAGCTTGAATTAACAAAGAGCGGGGGAAGAAGGAGCGCAGCCTCACGGCGAGGCCAGGAGGAGGCAAAGCCTCAGGATCAGGCGGTGCCGAATGGGACGCACAAACACATACTAGTACGATCTGTCCTCCTCGGAGGCGTGCGTTCGATCCGATCATATAGTATACCCATCTTGTAACATATCGTTTCCCGAGCGGAGTGGCCAGAAAGCGCTGGCCACGACGCATGTACTATAAGAGTTCTCGGTGCGCGCGTCGCCCTTGGGGGGGGGGCGACGAGCATACAATATGATTTAGTTGGGGTGACGCCGATTAGACTGCCACAAGACAACTTGAGGATGGTCTCTGCCTCTGTTCTGGAAGACCACCAGTGTCTCAAGCCAAGAGGCCCAGCGAAGAGGCCAACAAAGGCATCGAACAGGACCCGATGGAATCGCCCCCCAGAAAAACCGTGGGCCCGAGGGGCGCACCGAGCCTGCTCGGTCCATCGCACGCCCCCGAGAGGGCCCCAAATGGGCCCCCAGAGACTTTCAGGCACCCCCCTGGAGACGCGGAGCCTGCGCCCCAAAAGCTCCCAATTGAGGGATGAAAAAACGCCCCTATGTCTGCATCGGCATCGGCATTTCCTGGATCCTATTTGTATTAGGGCTCCAATGTCTGCGAGCCTGCGATTATTACCTTGCGTTCCGTGGTCTTTAGCCCACGCAGCCATCGCCATTTGCTACGCCTGCGTGTCTTTAGAGGACCCTGGGTTACAAGAGCGTGGTCTGTGGACCCCCTGGGAGCTCCCAAAGGCCAGAGGGCCGCCAGGACGCTGCGCGACAGGCGCGATGCGCAGGCTTCACCCTGTTAGCCCACAGGAGGTTAAGCGCACAGCGCCTCGTAAACCAGGGTAGGGGCCCCAAGTGTCGTCCGAATTGCGGCCACGAGCTGACCCGCAGATCGGCCCGGAGCACCCCGGGCAGAGAGCAGGATCGGCTGGTGGCGTCGCCGCATGCGAGCCCGATGACGTCAACTGAACCTGAGACTTCTTTCCGACAGCGGGCCTGGCACCACATGGGGTCGGGAGGACCGGAAACAAGCATAGGAGGTTCAGCCTCACACGTCTACCATGCAAAAGAACTGCCACCACCGTACGATCACTCCAACACGTTTTCCTCATGCCAGTATCGTGCGTTTTAAGGTACGGACCGACGCCAACAGGGGTGTGGCACAGTGGAACAGAAGGCCAGCGCCAAAAGTTTGTAATTCTATGTGTGACACTGTGGGCGTGGCACAGTTTGGAATCCAGACGAGCCCAAGTCAAACTCCTGGTCGAAAAGGATTTGACACCGAATGAGACCTCTGTGCGTGACAGCCGCAGCCTCGAAGTCACAGTCATGGGTACATCCCAGCTGTCGCCCTCCCCCTCTTCTTCCATACCTTCGTTCCTCCTCGACACCGCCGTCCCTCTCGACCTCTATGCTTCCCTGCCCGCCTGCGACACGATACCAGCACACCTGGCACTGATCAATGCACGTGGCTCATTCTTCAAAGAGCCAACATCGGCGGTGGACAAACCTCCCTTTAGTAGTGAAAGCGGCCTGGGACCGAAAGCGAGAGACCTGGACCCGCAAAAATGACGGCCGCGACGCCATCTCGCGAACCGAAAACGGCCAATTCCTTAATCGACGTGTCAGGGTAGGTCGATCCACCTCCGAACAATAGAGGCTTCCCAAGAGGGGTCTGGGCAGATGGGTTCAGAGGGCCGCGCCGCATCGTCGATGCACTGCCGAGGTCGCAGATGCATCGGCGACGTCGACATGGGTAACATCGGGTTCCCACATCGAGACGCATCGCAGATGCAGCGTCGGTGCATCGCGGCCATCCGCCCCCATCTGCTCGACAGAATGGCTCCGGAGGCGGCAGAGCCGCAGTCTTTGACCGCTTTCCCCAAACGAATGCCTCTCGATGGCGGAAGCCGCAAACGTGGGCAAGAAAACGCCAAACTGTTTGTCACAAACTGCTCCCCGAAACGGCATGGGCGGTCTGGGGATCCGGAAGACGCTCGGAACCGGTGCGAAAACGATGCGGATCTGGCAACACAAAACTTAAGTCGGGCGTGTCCCCCTACAGGGGGCTTTTCGACGAAAAATTAAACATACCCCAAACATCATAAAAAAATGTCCCAACATAACCTGGGAACTATTTCTTGAATATTTGTTGGCCATTTTGAAGGAATTTTTGGGGTGTTTCATTTTTCGCCGAAAGTCCCCCTGTAGGAGGGACACGCCCGACGTAAGTCAAAACGTAAGGATCTGGACCGAACCCCCGCCAGGGGAAAACGAGCACGGCAAAGTAACAGAGCTGGAACAGTCAGCAAAAGTAGCGCCGGGAAGGGTACGCCAAACTGCCCTGTCGTTTCCAGGGCCCACCACGTCCGGGAGGAGGAGGAGTAGGAGAAGGAGGAGGAGGAGGAGGAGGAGGAGGAGGAGGAGGAGGGAGGAGGAGGAGGGGAGGAGGAGGAGGAGGAGGAGGAGAGGAGGAGAGGAGGAGGAGGAGGAGGACGAGGGAGGAGGAGGAGGAGGAGGAGGACGAGGGAGGAGGAGGAGGAGGAGGAGGAGGAGGAGGAGGAGGAGGGGGAGGAGGAGGAGACTGAGGGAGGAGGAGGAGGAGGAGGAGGAGGAGAAGGAGGAGGAGGGGAGAAGGGAGAAGGAGAGAAGGAGGAGGATGAGGAGGAGGAGGAGAAGTGAGGAGGAGGAAGAGGGAGGAGGAGGAGGAGGAGGAGGAGGAGGAGGAGGTCGAGGAGGAGAAGGGAGGAGAGGAGGAGGAGGCCTGGAAGCAGGGGCTTCTTGGGCCCATCTGCACCCGAGGTGCCCTCCCCCCCCTCGCCATCGCTCGGACGTCCATTCCCCGTGCCTGTTTCGGTTTCGTGCGTGCATCTTTCGCAAGGTGTACAACATGCTCCTCGACGGTCCTCGCCAGGGAACAAAAGTGCGCACGTCCGAGCGATGCCAAGCTCCCCCCCCCCTGGCGCTGCCCTCTGCTACCCTTAGGTCGGGCCTGTCCCCCCACAGGCAGACCTTGAAAGAAAAACGATAACATAGGCAAACAATACTCCAAATTGGAAAAAAATCGAAACATCGTCCCCAGACTATTTTTTCAGTTATTTTGGAACATCCCCCCTGTAGAGGGACAGGTCCGACCTGATGCTGCCCTGCGGGGAGGCCTGCGGCGGCCGCTGCAGGTGCGCCCTCGACATCGACGAGGCCAGCGCCTGCGCGGGCAGCGCCGGCAGCGCCGCGCAGGCGCGCGCGGCCCGGAGGGCACGGGCGGGGGAAGGGAGGGCGGCGAGGAGAGTCCGAGGTCGGAGGGAGGGTCGACGGTGGTCGCCAGAGAGTACCTGTGAGGAGAGCAGGGCTGGAGCAGGATGGTGGTGATGACGGGGATGATGGTGGTGGTGATGATGATGGTGACGGTGGTGGTGCTGAGGAGCATGGTAGCAAGATGCTGGTGGTGACGATGGTGGTGGTGCTGGTGACGATGATGTTGGTGATGATGGTGGTGGTGATGATGAGGATGTTGTGGTTTGTGCTGACAAGCCTGGTGCTTTTGTGTTGGTGATGCTGGCGATGACGGTGTTGACGACAATGATCACGATGATAATGGTGATGATGATGCTGAAGATGATGATGATGATGATGATGCTGATTCTGATGATGGTAATGATCAGTTTTACGATGATGCGGCGGATGATGAATGATGCTGATGATGATGACAATCATGCTGAGTATTATGATGCTGATGCTGATGCTGATGTTGATGCTGATGACGATGATGATGATGCTGCTGATGATGATGATGATGATGATTGTGGTGATGATGATGCTGCTGATGATGATGCATCTCATAATGATGGTGGTGGTGATGATGAGGATATGACGACATGACGACGACGATGACGACGCCGAGATGATGGCGCTGATCGGGCGGGTGGTGCTGGTGGGGGGCCTTAATGGGGGGTGGAGAAAAAAAAAACGAAGGGGCCATTCAGGGCCTGTGTTGGGGCCAGCAGGGGCCTATTCGGGGCCCAGGAAAGGCACTTGTGAGGTGCCTGCGGGTAGCCAAGGAAAGGCACCTTGGAGGTGCCTGCGGGTAGCCCAGGAAAGGCACCTTGGAGGTGCCTGCGGGTAGCCCAGGAAAGGCATTTGGGAGGTGCCTGCGGGGACCTGGGACATGCACTTGGAAGGTGCACCCACCCGTCCTGATAGCGCGCTGCCCATTTTCGGCAGTCCCACAGGCACGCCGCGAAACGCTGCGCGGCCAAACGCTCCGCGCGCCCATTGCTCGAGAGGGGGCGTCGCCTCGAGACCGCTCGTCCGGCCTGAGGCACGTCAGGCCTGCGACGTCTCTTCTCGCTCCCTTTCGCTCTCTCGACCTTGTGCCTGTCTTCGCCCCTGGTGCCGCCCACCGCTCGCTCTGACCGGCGCCGGGCCGTCTTGCTCCGCCTGCCCCCCCCCCCCGACTTCAAAGGTTTTCGCTGCGGCCCCTGAGTCACGTTGCATCCTCGAAGAACCTTGTCTGTCCCGTCGAGGCCCTATCCGCGTCGAATCCATATCGAATCCGCATCGAATCCGCGTCGTATCCACGCCAAATCCGCATCGAGCCCGCATCGGGCCCTCGTCGAGCCCAAGAAAAGACACCAACTTTGGGGACAGGCGAGGTCCCCCGAAGATGCAACACAAAGATACCGATACCGCTACTCCCCCGGGCCTCTCCCTGGGTCCCGGAGTGCGTTCTGACCAGGATGTCGAGGCGAATCCAGCGGTGACGATGAGAGCCTCCCAGGAGGCGCGGACAGGGGAAAATGATGGGCCTGTTTTTCACCACAACCACCACCATAAGTTGGACAGGAGGGAAGGAGGAGGAGGACGAGGAGGAGGAGGACGACGACGAAGAGGAGGTGGAGGAGCAGCAGGACCCCCTCCCCCTCCAACTCATGGTGGTGGTGGTGGAACACATGGCCCATCCGAAAACGAGGGCAGAGGGGGCGGTAGGGGCACCACTTCCTCCTCCGACGCACGGGTCCGTGGGAGCCCGTCGGGTGGCAGAAGGCCGCCGCTTCCACTTTGGGAGTCCCGAAACGGTGCGGTGACAGTCCGTGCGGTAACCTCGGAACCCCAAGAGACCTCACCGCACGGTCCCGCCACCGCACGGCCTTGGGACTCTGGAGGCCCCTGTCGCCAGAGACGTCCTCGGAGAGAGCCCCGAGTCCCAAAACCGTGCGGTGACCCCGAATCCCCACCGACTCACCGCACGGCGTGATCACCACACCGTTTAGCCGAGGATGGACAGACCTCCCTTTAGCAAAACGTGGATTAGTGAAAACGACCTGAGGCCCAAACCTGGCGGCCGCAAGCCTGGAAAATAACGGCCGCGGCGCTCTCTCGAGAACCGAAAACGGGCAATTTACTAATCGACGCGTCAAGGTAGGAGGTCTATTCACCTCCGAGCATCCCCACCGACTCACCGCACGGCGTGGTCACCACACCGTTGGGGGGCCCCCGACGCGCGCGGCAGCGCGCCCTGGCCAGGATGGGCACCGCCGCCCGGCGCGCCCCCGGGGGGGGCGGGGGCGGAGGAGGAGGAGGAGGAGGAGGAGGAGGATGAGGAGGAGGGGAAGAAGAAGAGGAAGGCGGAGGAGGAGGAGGAGGAGGAGGAGGAGGAGGAGGAGGAGTGACGAGGAGGAGGAGGAGGAGGAGGAGGAGGAGGAGGAGGAGGAGGGGGCAGGCACCGCCGCCGGCGCGCGGGCGGGCAGGCCAGGCGCGGGGAGGGGCTCAGCGGCCGAGCAGAAGGCGAGGGCCCCCAGAGGAGGCCCTCCGGTCGGCGTCGGGGCGTGGACGAGGGCGAGGACGAGGACGAGGACGAGGAGGAGGAGGAGGACGAGGAGCAGGAGGAGGACAAGGAGGAGGAGGAGGAGGAGGACGAGGAGGAGGAGGAGGAGGAGGACGAGGAGGAGGAGGAGGAGGAGGAGGAGGAGAAGGAGGAGGACGAGGGAAGGAGGAGGAGGAGGACGAGGAGGCCCCAAGTCAGGAACGAGGCCCCTTGTTCGCAGAAGGCATCTGTACACCGCCACCGTACCAAGGCAGGGCCATCCTGGGCTCCATGATGGTGTATACGCCCTCCTGGCCGAGGCCAAGAGCATCCTGGGGCCCAGGATGGCCCTGGCCTGGCACGGTGGTGGTGTATAGATGCCTTCGTCGGACCTTGTTTCCATACGCTGAACTTCGACTCCCAATCGACAACCTAACTACGGACAACCTGAGGCAAGCTGCGACACAATGAAGGAACACGGAGCCCCTCCCCCACGAAAATGGCTCCTTTTATCAGCGCCCCGACTGCAGTTGTGGAAGGATGTTGGCGCTCTCAGCTATTCGGCTTCCTGGCGCTCAAGGATGGCCCCAGAGGCCCCACAGATCGCCCCAAGACGCCCAAGAGGCCTCCAAGAGAGCCCCAGGAGGGGGCCCAAGAGGGCCCCAAGAAGCCCCAGAGGCCTCCAAGACGGCCCAAGACATCCTCAGGACGGCCCCAAGAGGGGGCCTTACGGGGAACCCGAACGGACATTTCGAGCCCTCGGTCCCAAGAGGCGTCCAAGACACCCAAAGAGGCCTCGAAGAAGCGTTTCGAGAGGGCTCCAGGAGGTAAAAAACATCGATGGCCCTTTGGTGTTTGAAAGATTTTGGCATTCTCAGCTGTTCGGCTTCTTGGCGCTCAAGGCCCTGGATGCTGCACTTTGAGGCGAACCCCGGGCGAGGATAACATCGGGTGAGGTTTAATCGAAAATCTCCGAGATCCGGCGGCTTTGGAGGATGCCTCGGGTGCCGCGGCCTTCCCGGAGTGTTCCAGAACGGAGGTTCCCTCGTCCAGAGCCCCGTCTGGTCGTACTTGCTCTGTGCGGAGCTGGCCCTGGATCTGCACTTGTTCCAGTGGCTGCTTGGACCCCCATGGCTTGGACACCCAGGGCTTGCACCTCTAGGCCTCGAACCCCCATGGACTTCCACCCCCGCGGGCCCGGGGGCCACACTGCTTCCTTCGGGTCGGGCGAAAGGGGGGGATAGTAAAGGGGGGGTTTGAGAATTAGCTCACGTAGATGATTTTCCCGGCGCCTCCCGGCGTCGGAGGCGCCCATGTATCGAGGAATGGGCCCCTCGGCGGGGCCAAAACCAGCTGCATGCAGCAAATTTCGTACCCCCCCCTTTCCCAATCCCCCCCTTTCGCCCAGCCCGATTCCTGTCTCGCGGAACTGCTTGGGCCCCTGGGGCTCGGAACTGCTTGGCCGGGCTGCGCACGCGTGGTGCGTCGAGGCGCGCGGCAGAGGCGGCCCGCACGCGCGAGCGGGCAGGTGCAGGAGGCGGCAGGCGCGGATTGTCCGGCGGCAAGGGCGGGGGAAAGAGAGGGAGGGGGAAGGGAGGGACCATCACAGGCTACGGGGGGGGAGGCAGAGGTTCGTCGACCCGACCCCACCGAAACCTTGGGTTACCTCCGCTCTCCACTGACGCTCTCGTTCGGCCTGCCTCTCCGATGCCTCCCTGAGGAGCTGGGCAGCAGGGATTGGCTGGGAAAGTCGGGGGCGGGTCAATAACCTGCTCTTGAGGTGACGGCCGCCTGACAACAGGGGAGGGGGAAGGGAGGGAGAGCGCTCACGCGGCGGAAGCCGCCGCGGAGAAAGGGCTGCGCACACATGGAGGCCTGTATGTCATGTTCCATACACACAGTGGGTTTGGCACAAGGGCTTCACACACGGACGGTTGGGCTCCACACACGTAGGGTCCCACACACAGAAGATTCTGCACCTGTTGCGCGAATGTTCAAGTGGGAGCCCGCTCGCTGGCATCATACTTCTCTTAAGACCGCCGACCCTGTCGGCGTGCGGAAGACGCTGTTCTGTTTGACTCGTCGTCGTCGTCGTCGTCGTTCTAGTCGTCGTCGTGTTTGACCACCCTTTTTCTGGGCCCGTCTCCGCTGCCGCCCTCCTTTCACTTCACCCTCCTCCTCAAGGGAGGAGGCCAAAACGAAAGCAAAGCGAAATTGAGCAACGTCGTAGTTGAGCCGAAGGGAAGAATACCCTTCCCTGTGATCCCTTCACCCCCTGGGGGGGGTCAAAGGGGGGTCTGGGGGGCTCATGAGAAAGGTCCTTGGGGGGGATTCTGCGGGGGGCCCCGGTGGGGTCCCGGGTGGCGTCCCGTGTTAAAATAACATCCTCTCCCGAGGGTCGTGGGGCCCAAAAAGGCCCCAAGACAGCCCAAGAGGCCCCCAAGACGGTCGAAGAGAGCCCCGATTCGCCAAAACGGTCGGTCCAGGACGCCAAAGATGGCCTCCTGACGGCCCAAGCTGCTGCCAAGACGCTCGAAGAGGCCTCCAGGAGCACATCAAGAAGGCCCCACCAGGCAACATTACATGGTTTGACCATCCTGTGGTGTTGGGTCCTTCTTTTGAGGAGACAGCGCCCCATCGGGAGCTCCACCGAAGGCCCCAGAGGCAACGCCCGCATGGCTCAACCGCACCTGTTCCGGCGCACCCCTCGCACGCTTCGGGGCCCCGTAGGGTGCCCCACTGAAGGCCATGGCACCACCGCGCCTGGCTCGGCACACTCGCTTCGTAGCCACACAAGGGGGCTTCACCGAAGGCCCCAGTGGCAACGCCCGCAAGGCACCACTGCATCCGCTCCGGCCCCCCCCCCTCACACGCTTCGTGGCGCCATAAAGGGGCTCCACCGAAGGCCCAGTGGCAACGCCCGCATGGCACCACCGCGCCCGAAAGCGGTCGGTACCCACAGCGCGGCAATCACTACTGCATACGGCTGGGTCTTTCGCCCAGACACTCGAAGTCTTTGGAAGATTCTCGCGTCCTCGCCCAAGATGCCACCAAGATCGGCACAAGAGTCACAAAAGGCCCCCAAGAGGTTCCCAAGACGGCCCCAAAACGACCCAAGAGGGCCCCAAGACGGCCCTATAAGCCTCCCAGACGGCCCAAGAGGCCCCCCAAAACGGCTCCAAGAAAAGGCCTACACGGGAGCCCGAACAAACATTTGGAGCCTTCGGCCGCGAGAAGCTCCCAAGAGGCCGGCCGCCAAAGGGCTCCGCGAGAGAAAGGGGCCCAAGAGGGAGAACCCGGACTTACATTTCGAGCCCTTCTTCCTCGGATGCCCACAGAGGCCCTCAACACAACCCGAAGAGTCCCCAAGAGGCCACCAAGAAGCCTGCAAAATGCCTCAAAGAGGGCTTCCCCAAAGACCCCAAGAAACCTTGAAACATACACAATGCGGTAGGCGTCCTTTGGCTTTGCCGCATGCTCCCTGGCCTCTGGCCGGGGCGTCGTGGTCAGCCCAAGAGACCCCATGAGATCTCTTATCTACGACCCAGGCACGGTGGTGGGATGGGCCGAAGGCCACTATATCCGCCGCCCCCTGTTGCTTGCAAGAGGGGTGCCTGGCGTGCTGGACCCCCTCGGTTTTGGTTGTGGCTCTTTTCCCAAAAGAACTCCCCCTGGGGCTTCGGTCCGTTCCGCCGGGGTCCCGGGAGGGACCTCAATTGCACATTTGTTCCTCCAAGACGGCTCAAGATGGCCTCCATGATAGCCACGCTGGCCCAAGATGGCCTCCAAGATGGCCTCCGATGGCCTCCAAGTCTGCCCAAGAGAGGAGGAGATGCCTCCAAGTCCGCCCAAGAAACCTCCAAGACGGCCCAAGACGGCCCAAGAGGTGCCCAAGAGGTGCCCAAGAGGCCTCCAAGAGGCCTCCAAGAGATCCTCCAGGAGGGCCCGAAGAGGCCAAACTTATTATTTGTCCTACAGTGTTCACATGTTTTTCGTATTTGCTCCTTTTCGGCTTTCCGACGACTCAAGACGGCCTAAGAGGCCCCCAAGATCGACCCCACAGCGCCCAAGAGGCCTCCAAGATGGCCTCAGGACTGCCCAAGAGGCCCCCAAGACGGCCCCAAGAGGGCACAAAGACGACCCAAGAGGCCTCCAAGACGCCCAAGATGGCCCCTTTCGCACCCCAAGAGGGCCCCAAGTCGGCCCAAAGAGGCCCCCCAAACGGTTTCCGACGGCGTCAGACGGGCCAGGAGCCCACCAAGATGGCCGAAGTTGGCTCGAAGCTGGCCCAAGACGGCCCACGAGGCCTCCAAGAGGGCCGCCAGGAAGGCCAGAAAAGGCCAAGAACCTTGTGTGTGTTCCCTATGTGTGTTGAAGGATGGTGACACGTGCGTCTTTTCGGCCTTCCGACGGCCCAAGAGCGCCCAAGCATCACCCAAAGATCGCCTAAGAGGCCTCCAAGATGGCCCCAGAACGGCCCAAGAGGCGCCCAAGACGGCCGCAAGAGGCCCCCAAGACGGCCCAAGAGGCTTTTAAGACGCCCAAGATGGCCTTTAAGACGGCCCTGGAGCATTCCAAGATGGCCCCAAGTCGGCCCAGAAGGGCCCCCCAAACGGCTTCCGACGGCGTCGGACGGGCCAGGAGCCCACCAAAATGGCCGAAGATGGCCCTAAGATGGCCCAAGACGGCCCAAGAGGCTTCCAAGAAGGCCTCCAGGAAGGGCCGAAAAGGCCAAAAGCATGGACGTCTCATCATGTGTTGAAGGATTGTGGCATTTGGTTGTTTCGGCCTTCCGACGGCCCGAGACGGCCCAAAGATCGCCCAAGAGGCCCAAGACGGCCCCAAGAGGCCCCCAAGACGGCCCAAGAGGCCTCCAAGATGCTCAAGATGGCCTCCAAGACGGCCCAAGAGCCCTCCAAGACGTCCTCCAAGAAAGCCCGAAAGGGTCAAAATGGCCTCCATACGGCCAAGATGACCTTCAAGATGCCCACGTGTTCCCCGAAGGCTTTCCAAACCGATTCGGGGAGCACATGGTCCGATAGCTTGGCAGGTCTGGCCTCAACGTTCGGCCACATAGGCGCTTCCGAACAGGCAGGGGGCGGCGGTGATTCGCCGCAGGCGTCTTCGATATGCATATACGCGTCGGCACAATGTTAGCTTGAATACACGTCGAACAAAACGCCCTCGGCCTAGAACGTTCATTATGTCTCACCTGCACCGGCTGATAGCCAGGTATTTCTTGCTTGCTGTGCCTTTCCGAAACCTGGATCCGCATGCCGCATTGGTAAAGCACCACATCATCGCTACCTGAAACCAGGCGGTCCTGATCTCCTTCTTGCATGTCGATCATGATCCCTAGGGGGCCCACGGAGCCCCTGAGGGCCCCAACACCTCCTCCAAGACTTCCTACTGGGGCGCTGGGGGTAAACATAATATCACATGCTAATGCCCTCAAGGCCATAGGGGGTAATCACATGTCTTGTGTGACAGCCTTCCCTCCTCTGGGGATTTCAGCTGACATGTCATCGTGCGGCCACTTCAGAAACATGCGAAATGACGTTCCCAGATTTTCAGATTTCTGCTCTGGACCCTCAAGGAGGCCGCTGTCTCACGTCAGGCATTTCCCTGGCCTGTGGAAGAGCGTGCCGCAGTAGAATGCCACCTGAGCAGATAAAAGAGCTGTCCAACGGTACCGCCGTCTGACAGACTACTCCAGCTTTCGTAATAAAAGGGAGGGGGTCTGGACCCTCCAAGACAAGCCACTTCAGACCCCCCCCCCCCCGTGGGAGAACCCTCCAAAACATCGTCCCCAGACCCCCCCAAGCCCTCCAAGATAGCCTGGAAGAGACCCCCCCCGAAATAAGACCCCCCTCCCTTTATTACGAAATCTGGAGTACCCAAGGTGCACCTCAGGAACCAAAAGGACAAGACGAGATCCACGGACGGACGCGGGGCCTCGTCCAACGCAGGCCAATACGCTGCCGACAAGCACTTGTACACCTTGCTCCGCACCTTGTCTTCCGTGAACATCGCCTCCAACACCGACCAGGTGGGATACTTTCCAATCACGTGCAACATAGCTCATGTGCTCATTGCTGCCATCTTTGCGAAACCAGTCGGCGCAACCACCGTCACACTCGCTGCCGATGCATGTGCATCGCCGCCAGTCGAGGGGTACAGATTGGGCGTGTCAACACTTGTGCGCCAGCGTCTGTACGCGCATAACATGGAGCACGGTGAACGATTACTGCGATACGCAAGCACTGGAATGCTAGATCGCTAAACATTCATATCGTATCTCCCTCCTTCTCTGAAACTCTCTCTCTGTCACTCTCTCTCTCACTGTCTCTCTCTCTCTATCACTCGTTAGCTCTTGACTTATTGATGTGTTGCTTCTCTCTCTCTCTCTCTCCCATCTCGCTCTCAGCCAGCGCCCCTTCGGAATCGGCACATTGGACCTCTCCGAGCAGCACGCGAGCAGCACCCCGAACAGGCATCTCGCGAGCAGCACGCCTAATTGCTCCAGACCCGGCGACCAGAGGCACTTCAGGTCAGAGGGACAGTAGAGGTTTCGCCGAATGGCGGGCAGGGCATTGAAAGTCGGCGGCGAGCGAGGGGGGGAAGTGAGAAGGCGAAGGTCTTCTCAGAACGCGGCGGGACTTCTCAGAAGGCCTCGCGCCTTCCAAGAAAAATGCTCTGCCTTCGGGGGAGGCTTCGAAAACGCCTGAGAAGGCCGGGGGGCTTCCGAGCCTTCTGTAGAAGAAGAAGAAGAAGAAGAAGAAATGGCATAAACATAAACTCTTTGGCGCTCCGTGCAGCTTTCTTGGATCTGAGCTGGATCCCCCTCCCTGGCGCGCGGAGCCAAGAAATCCGCGCGGAGCGTCGAAAGCTTAAGTCTATGGCGATTTGTTCTTCTTCGATTCTGAGGAGGCCCGCCCCTTCTCGCTTCCTCCAGGTCGGGCATATGTCCCCCTAAAGGGGGTTTTTGGACGAAAAAATTTAAGATACCCCATAGGAAATCGAAAATAGCATCAAAAAACATCAAAAAGTGGTCCCCAGACTGTGTTTTGACTATTTGGGGACATTCCTCCTCTAGAGGGACAGGCCCGACTTACGCTTCCCCCTGGGCTCGCCGCCGAGAAGGACCAACCAAGGGAGAAGCCACAGGGGGGAGGGAGGGAGGGCCCGTGTGGCTGGCCTGCCCCGCGGGCCCCCGCGGGGCAGCTCCAAGGTCTCGACCCCCGCCCGCTCAACCCTCCCGAAGGGGCCCAGGGACTCACAAAGAACTACACACAAATCCCAAGAATCCCCACATTGACCATATTTTCTAGGTGTTCGTCGTCCCCCCCACTTCCCAGAGCTGTTTCCCATCTTTTCGTGGGAGTCGACGATGGATTGTGTCTGTGTGTTTTCTCTCCTCCTGACCTCCCTCGGCCGCGGCACGGACGCGGCCGTAAGAGACCCTCGCAGGCAACCGAGCCCTGGAAATATCCGCGCGCGAGATGCCATGTGGGAGGGAGGCTAAAGTTCGAGTAGGGGATTGACTACATGGTGAATGTGCACACAACCTGATATTCTCTTAGAAACTACAAACATACATGGAAAAAACTACGAGCATTCGGAATAAGTTTGCGCATGCGACGAGAAGTTCAAGTTTTGGGCAAACCAATTCTCTAGTCGATCCCCTACTCGAAGTGTGCCGGCTGCCTCTGAAGCCCCGACATCCCACGCCACTTCCCTGCCCCGCGCCCCACCGCGGCAACGTCCCACATGGTCTTCTCGAGCATGCACCTCTCGACGGCATCGTCGTACTCCACTCGCACGATGTCCTCCACCGCCTCGCACGGGGCAGCCCGGGCTGTGCAAAGGACCCCCCCAGTTGAGCAGGGGCCGACCGTCCCGGCATTCCTATAGGCCTACCACGACATGTTCTTAGAACCCCAAAAGAACGAAAACAATGCTTTCAGACCACAGAGCCCATGTGTTGTGTTCAAACAAGACGGTCCCAGCCAGAAATGTTCAAAGAACATGTCGTGCAGACCACCAAAGGTTCTTGGAACATTCTTTGGTGGGGCTATAGGCGCGTAGGACGTTTCGCATCTGCTTGAGTGCAGAACACCCCCCAGGGCACCCCCGTATTTCTCGAGCCCGGGCTGGCCGCCCTTAGCCTCGGGGGCCGCGTGCTTTAGGTCGGGCATGTCCCCCTACGGGCGGATGTTGGACGACAAATAAACAACATACCGCACACATGCCAATTTTACTATTTTGCATTCTAAAACATATTCCATTCTTGTGTTTCTAAACTATTTGTGCTACTATTATGTGCATCGTCCTTGCACTGTTGCACCATTGATTGACTATTCTGTTTTTAGGAGGAGGAGGTGGAGGAGGAGGAGGAGGAGGGGGAGGAGGGGGAGGAGGAGAAGAGGGAGGAGGAGGAGGAGGAGGAGGAGGAGGAGGAGGAGGAGGAGGAGGAGGAGGAGGAGGTCCTCCTGTGGAGGGACAGGCTCGACCTGAGGCGTGCTCGTGCCAGCGGCCCTGCCGCCAGCCGCCGCCCGCATGTGCTCTCCGGGGGGCACCGCCGCCGCGCGGGAGGGACCCCGACGGAGCAGGCGGGCTCCAAGGGGCCACGCCAGCTCACAGGGGAGTCCACAGAGGGACTGCCTGCCAGACCACCCCCACCTCACCCGAAGACCCGACTCTCGGGTTGGGGGGGGTACGGGTTCCATGCGTGTTTTTCCAGTGTTCCCCGACCCCGCGTGCTCCCCGACCCTCCCCCCCGCACTAGAACTGGAGGGCAGATGGAAGCCTTCGGGTTGGGTTGGGGTGGTTTGGTGGGTGGTGAACAAAGGACGTACGCGCCCAGCTATGTACAGGAGCACGGCCCCTTGACCCGCGCGACCTGCCGCGTGATACGAACATTCGCGCAATGCGAACTCTCGAAACCAGCGTGGATTCGTGTACGTGTACGTCCTTCTTTTCGCTCCTGAGCTCAGTCGAAGACGGCGGGAAGGTCTGGTTCGAAAAGGGTGCTTCCGACGGCTGCCGGGGCGCCTCAGATCGTGCCGGAGTGCCCAAGGTCGGGCGGAGGGGACCTCGAGTCCAGCGAAGCCAACCTTGTCCAGCGAACCCTTCTGGCAGCCTTCGACCCAGACAACCTGGGACATGATAACCAGACCGGCCGGCCAGACCACAGCCAGACCAGACCAGAAAGAGCAAATCTGGCAAGACAGGCCATAACAGGCCAGCACGGAAGGGGGGGCCAGACCGGAACGCAGCAACACCAGGCCAGACAAGCCTGACCAACCAGCCCAGGCACACCAGACTCAGCAGACACGAAGACCGATCAGACCAGGCGAGACGGCAAGACAGACGAGGCCATTAGCCAGGCATGGCCAGGCGGACTAGCCAGACCAGCAGGATGGACAGGGAAACTTGCGGCAACGAAGGGAACCACCAGAGCCAGGAACACCCATAGACAGTCGAGGGCACGGAAGGCCAAAGAAATCCAGAGCATCGGAAGGCAACACACGGTCCAGGACAGTCCGGAACGCGGAAGACGGTGGCAGTTTCGGACCACCCCCTGGAACCCCATCAGGGAGGGGTTCTTCTATTTTTCCGTTTTCCGGCTAGAGGGGAGGGAAGGACACCATCGGACGACCACCCTCACGGGATGTTCGCCTCTCAAAAAAAGCCCCCTCTCAGAAGGGCTTGAAGGGAGCTCAAGGAAATTCGTCCCCCCAGAAGCCCCCTCAAGAGAGGCTTTTGGGGAGTTCAAAATGTCCCTGGCCAACCTCCTGAAACTAAAATTCGGCAAACAACTCCCTTGAAGACCGCCCAGACCCCCCCTGAGGAGGCGGGGGGGTAGGGGTTCCCCCTAGGAATCACCCCTCAGGGAAGGGGAGGTTGCGGGGGGGTCCTCCCGGCCGCCCACCCCAATGTAATTGAACTGGGGGGGAACATCTCTAACCCATCGGAGAATACCCCCTGAGGGGGAGCCCGGGGAGAACCTCCCCTAACCCTCCCTGCCCCCCCCCTGAGAGGAGGGGTTCAAGGGAAAACCAATTCTAACCTCCCCAAGCCCCAAAACCAAATCCTGAAGGAGGAGTCCTGGGGGGAAACCCCAGACCCCGCCGAACCCCCCCCGTGGAATGAAAACTCCCCAAACCACCATACCACCATCCCCAGAAAAACAAACACCGAAGAACTCGGGGGGGGTCTGGGGGGAGAACCCTCCGAACCCCCCCTGTCCCCCCTCTGAGGGGGGGGGTAGAGGGGGGTCCAGGGGGGTTCTGGGAACTGCCACGTCCTACTGCGGACGAGACATGGCTAGCCAAGGAAACTGGCTGCAACGGAGGGCAGCATCAATGCCTGGGACAATCGGCGACGGGGCTTGCTAAGGAAATTGGTGGTAACAGAGGCCAGCACCACGAGAGACCCTCGGAACAGTCGGGGACAGAACAGGGCAGAGAAATCGGCTGTAACAGAGGGCAATTCTAGGGCCTTGAACCAAAGCCGGGGACATTCGAGAACTATCGGGCATAGGGCTGGCCAAGGGGACTGACGCCATCGGAAGGCATCATTAGGGCCCAGGACAGTCGGGTACCAGGGCCAGTTCAGGAAACCTATTAACACCTAGCGCGCACACGCACAGACAAACACAGACGCACACAGAGACAGACACACAGAAACAGACACACACACACACACACACACACACGCGAAGCACTGCCTGGTCTACGACCTATTACCCATACACTCGCTAAACAGCACTACCCCTCACCCTATTAGCCAGCGTGGACCCCAAGCGGTGAGTTCTTGCACTGTGGACGTGGAAACTATGCTGTGTAAGCGATGTCGTGTGAGCTATGTTATGTGAGCTATGGAGGTGAACGATATGAGAAGTAACATATGTGAAATCAGCTATGTCGTCTAATGTATGTGGCTTGAGCTGGAGGTGAAAGCTCGGCGGTGTAAGCTATGATGTGTAAGCTATGCATATGTAAGCTCTGCAATGTAAACTATGTGGTGTGCGCCATGCCGTGATCAAGCTACGCGGCGCAAGCTACGAGGCGCAAGCTCAGCGCACGGGGCGCCCGAGCGCCCACGAGGTGGCACGGGCGGCAACGTGACGCAACCTTGGCGGACCCACCCAGCGATCGGGGCGCCCACGAGGCAGCGCAGGCGGCAACGCGGCGCAACCTCTGCGGACCCACACAGCACACGGGGCGCCCACGCGGCGCCCACGAGGCGGTCATGGGCTGCGACGCGGCCCAGCGTCGGCGAACCGACCCAGCAGGCGAGGCGGCCACCACGAGACGACTGCAGTCGGCAACGTGGCGAAACCTCGCCCGACCCACCGGGCGGCCACGGGGCGGCCACGGGCGGCAGCGTAGCGAAACTTCGCCGGACCCACACAGCGCACGAGGCGGCCACGAGGCGGCCACGGGCGGCAACGTGGCGACACTTTGCTGGACCCACCCAGCGCACGAGGCGGCCACGAGGCGGCGACGGGCGGCAACGTGACGAAATTTCGCCAGACCCACCCAGCGCACGAGGCGGTCACGAGGCGGCGACGGGCGGCAACGTGACGAAACCTCGCCGGACCCGCCCATTGCATGAGGCGGCCAGGAGACCTCCATGCGCGGCAAGGTGGCGAAACCTCGCCGCACCCGCCCAGCGCATGAGGCGGCCACAGGCGGCAAGGTCGAAAGTCTTGGCGGTCCACCGAATTCCTGAGGAAGGGAAAGAAGAGCCCCTGAGTACAAGCACTGTTTGGGGAATCTGTTTCGCTTCGACGTGAATTAGCTCAACATGCCTTACCCAATGCACCAGCAGCTTCTAAACAGCTGTTTAATCACAGTTCTATCACGCACACCGCGCTCATGGACAATGGCAGGCCTTTGGCTCACCGACCTGAAGGCGCGTTGTTGCCCAAGCCGTTGCCTGCACACACTTGGATTGATGTTTACCTCTGCTTGGCCTGCAACGCATATTGTCAACTTAAGCTCGCTAACAGCCTACCATTAATGCCTGCACACATATCGATCGTGGCTTACATATCATTGGCCTGCGACGCATCTTGACCGCACCAAATGTTTCCCAATCTACGTGTCGCCCATACCTCCCCTTCCGGACGCTTTGAACAAGGCACTTGCACATGAACTTTGGTTACCCACTCTTTCGCAATGGCTGGCACATGTCCGCCATATCTCGGCAGAGCATGAATGTATCGAAACTGCTGGATAACTGCTGTGTAACTTAGCCGTGGATACAATAAGCGTACGGTCGGACTTGATTGGAGAGGACACGCGAGGAAAAAAAACCATTTCCGAGGGGCATTCTGCCATAGGAATGTAGGAGGCATGGGTCGACCTACAAATCAAGGCAGACTATACACTTTGCAGAACCCGATGCTATCATATCCTGGTGCGCGGATCTGTCCCGTGCCTTTCCCTCCATGCCCCCATCTGCAGGCTGGCCTGAGGGTGCACGCTTATCCGCTTCGCCGTGTGCAAAATATCCATGCCTGTCGTAGTCAGGACAGGCACCTGAAGGGCAGAAAGAGTGGCAAGCAGTAGAGAAGGAGGAGCAGGCATGGCAGTGCCAAGAAGACAACGGGAAAGTGCGACAGACCAGACAGAACGGACGTTCCCTCATCACCTAAGACTCATTCCCCACTCCTGCAAAACCTTTGAAAAGCCCAGACCCCAGACTGCCAAATCTCTCTGGGTTTCCCGCGTACCGCCTGGGCTCCCCCGCGTGGTGGCGCGTGAATTTAGTTTGGGCCCCAGAGGGCCCCACCCAGGACGGGCCAGAAGGGCCCCACGCTGCCTTCAAGACGATCCAAGAGGGCCCCGAGACGCCGAAAGATCGCCTCGAGACGCCCAAGATGGCCTCAAGATGGCCCAAGAGGCCTCCAAGACGCCACCCAATGAGGCCTCCAAGACGCCACCCAATGAGGCCCCCAAGGCGCAACTACCATTGATAAAAGATTTTGGCGTTCTCGCCTGTTCTGTTTTCCGGCGCTCCAAGACGGCCCAACAGACTCCCAAAACCACCCCAAGACGGCCCAAGAGGCCTCCAAGAGGGCCCCGAGACGGCTCAAGAGCGCCCAGAGACGGCACAAGAGGCGCCCAAGACGGCCGAAGGGGAGGACCACAAGAGATTCAAAAGAGGCTCCAAGAGGACCCGCTACGGCCCCCGGCGAGATGCCCCCCCACGTGACCCCAACGAACATTCAATAGGCTGCACACCCACAGCCGAAGCACGGTGGCGACATGAACAGAAGGCCATTCTATGTATACGCATATACACATACATATACATATACATATATATATATATACATATTTGTATATATATAAGTGTGTATGCGCAGCCCCCCGATACCCATTCAACTTGCATAGGTATGTGAGCTCTGTATTCGTACTCTTACTGATCATCAGCCTTCTGTTCATCCTTGCCTGCTCAGCCTTCCTATTCATCACTTATCCAGTGTTTTTCTCGTGGAGGAATCGAATTGGAATCAGCTGGATCTGCGATCTGATCCATATGAATTAGATGGTGCTTCGCTGCCACTAGGAATTCAATTGGAATGAGCTGGATATGGGATCTGCTGAATTTCATGTACGTTCTGCTCAGATTTCAACGAGAGTAAAAAGCATTACCTACTTGTTCGATCTCCAATATTCTGCTCGGTCATGATGAGAAGTGGCTGGGAAGGGGCACGAGCAAGACGAACGCGGGACCACAGGGTTGGGCTTTTACTCAATGGCGTCCTGGAATTGATCGAGCCCAAACAGTTACTGTACGGTTAGATGAGCAGCCAGCTGCCCCTCGTCTCCTCACTTCTGACTGGAACGCTCTTCCTAAAGCGTCCCTCCTTTCGCAGCCACCTTGTAGTCAAGGGGGCACATGCTCATGTTTTTCGGGCGGAGGAAATCTTGAGTCCAGTTGGAGTCGCCCACGAAGCCCGGAGGGCGGTGAAACGTTGGAGAGACGTCAGGGGGGATCACCGAATCGCGGGGGGCTCCCCGACCGCCGAGCGAAGAGACGGCTGGGCGAGGGAGCGAGCTGCAGCGAGGGCGACTGGGGGTGGACCGGGAGGTGGCCAGCCCGAGGGCAGGCGGGGCCGCGGGAAGCAAAGGGAGCAAGCGCGGACGGGGGGGGGCATTCTGGACATTCTGGACAATGAGGGCTCATGGACAGCCACAGGACAGACGTCACACAACATGTACAAGCACTGTGCAGGCACACAGATGGATGACAACAAAAAGAAGCGTACGGGGGGTGGAGGCAGGGCGGAGAGCAGAGACCACAGCAGAGGCGCGAGGCTGCAACCCTCGGGAGTGCGCCAGCGCGGTGGGCGGGGCTGGCAGGAGGCTCGAGGGCCATCGCGATGCGCGAGACGCGTGAGATTACGAGCGGAAGGGGGGGAGCCCGAGGGGCGGGGGAGAGGAACAGGGAGCCAGAGAGCACCAGATCAATGTCGTAAAACCACTGCGACTCGTTGCAGGAGTGCGAGAACCCTGCCGCGCCCTCCAGCCGTAGGTTCGAGGGAGGAGGGGGGGGGATGGGGGCAGCGGGAGGGAGACGCTGGGAGCTGCCACTTCACAACGGGGTCACAACACCACAGGATGGGCAGGAATAAGATTCAGCTGAAGTGCGCTATGGCCGTCCACACAATAAAAAACGAGCGCCCCTGTTGCAGCCGAGGGATGAACGACATGATTGGCGATGGTTCCAAAGGCTTGCTCACACATACTTGCTAGCGCAAACGACGCTGTGTCGCGCTGCACAAAGAACAGACTTGCGACGGGCGACGCAACCATGAGGCGTCCCGTGCAATCCGCGCACCATGGTCGCGCCGCAAACTTGTGACACCAGATCATGCTATTCATGCAATGCGCTGCCAAGCGAGTGACGCACCGAGCTGGATGAGACCCCGCCACTAGTGGACCAAGATTTGAGCAGAGTCCACACCGCATTTTCATATGCAACCTACTCGCCCCCTTCAAGCAATTACCCGCTTCAATGGATCATCGGCCATGCTAATTGGCCCTTCCTTTCCATCCCAGCCCCCACTCCCTTCCCCCTCGCGCCGACCCTTTCCCACGACCCACCTCTGTGCCCATAGCCCTCTCCCCTGCTTCGCCGCGCTCCCAGCGATGCGTCCATCCGCTCGCGCCACTGATGCGTCCACCCGCTCGCGCCACGTCCCGGCGCAGATTGCCCGGCCCCTCCTCGCATGGACCTGGCCAGCAGCGGGACGGTGGGCGAGGCGAGTGTGGGCGACAGAGCGAGGAGACGAGCAGGAGAGGAGGACGGCCAGGACGAGACCGAATGAACGCAAGTCATGGTCACGATGCGCACGCGATGCCGTACGAAGGGCAAGTCACCCTTAGTCTTCGCTTGTGTCCCATATCCCGCTCCCCTCTCGGCAGCCTCGCCTCGAGCCCTCGAAAGACCGCGCTGTGCTGCGGCGGGACCAAGCTGGAGAGAGGTTCGTCCCCTGCGCAGGCGCTGCGGGAATCGTGGCGGAAGGTGTCACCAACGTGGTTGTGGAGGGCCACCCAGACTTAGAGCCAGAATTGGAGGCCTGCACAAAATAAAAACGACAATGGCACCTGGAGGTCTCCAACCGGGAAAGATGATCTTAGATTTTGGTGCTGGTCATCAGAGTTTTGGGGCCGAACGGTCATTCACTGTCCCTGGGCGCGTGGCTGAAATGGACTCCCGTGGTGCGGTTTGCTGCTGCTATCTTGAACTCTCATCTCTAGAGGATGATTGCAGTTGATCCCCTTTGCCAAGTGCCCACTGTGCTTTTTCAATCGACATACCCCTACCGGGGCTCGCACTCTGCTTTCGACAAGGGGACGCCTTGGGCGTCCGACTGCGTCCCTGGCCCCCGACTTATAGCAACAACGGCTCTCCCGCCTGATACTTCCAATTGGCTTAGAATTGCGCCCTCGCGCAGAACTTCCTAGCAATGTATCCGGGACAGGCGCTCTCGCGAGGAAACTCGTCGCAATTTATGGAAACGACTCGCCCACGACACTCAGGAATCACGCTCCCGCTCTCAACTTCCGGACGATATACTTAGGAATCGCGCTATCACTGTTGAGCAGGGACCGGCCGTCCCGGCAATCCGATAGGCCTACCACGAAATGTCCTTAGAACCCAAACATGTTTTAATAACAAAAGTAGTGTTCTCAGAACGTAGCCCCGATTTGATAATACAGGACAGCCCCAGCGATAGATGTTCTGACAACGTCTCGTGGAAACCACCAGCGGGTCTTAGAACACTGTTCGGTTGGCCAATAATCGGAAAACTGGAACATGTACATTACCAGTGGCGGGCTGTTTCTCAATCCCATTGATGGTCGGGGACGTGGTGTATACTTGTTTCCCCGATGTCCCGAGGAAACAGCGACAAATGTATACACAAGGGTCTCGTATACACCAGGATCTGCCCACCAGTGCAAATTTCAATGCAGGGCCGGAAAAAGCGTCGGTGTATATAGAGTTCGATTCCCTACATAGGGACGCCAAGACGCTTCGCCACTGCTTGACGCTAAACACCTCCTCGCGACTCGTGTAAAGCTGACGCTTTAACGACCCGCCTGCTAATCCCCGCCGTCTGGGCCGGCTTGCCCGACCCGCCCGCTGTAGGGCCCGCCCGCCCGTCCCGCCCCCGTCTGGATCTGCCGCTCGAGATTCCCGCTCCCTGACCTCTCCTGCTATTGAAGGGTGAAAAAAAAAAACCCTACCCTGGGTTACAAGTGCGTGGTCTGTAAACCTCCTGGGAACCCCCAAAGCCTAGAGCCGCCAGGACGCGGCACATCACGCAGGGTTTACCCTGTCAGCCCACAGGAGTTTCAGCGCACAGCGCCTCGTAAACCATGGTAGGGGCGTTTTTTCTGCCCTTGATGCTAGAAGCTTCCTCGTGCTCCATCCTTCTTCCCCGTGCTTCCTCCTTCCTCCTGCTGTTCTTCCTCGTGCTCGAGGTTCCCGCTCCTGACCTCCCTCCCGCTAGGCTTCCTCGTGCTCCATCCGCCTCCCTCCCGCTCGTCCCTCCCTCCTCCCGTCCTCTTCCTGGCTTGGGGGGAATTTGGTTTTCTGGTGTTCCTTTTCCTGGTCTGGTTTCCCGCTGGTCCCCCCCTCCTCCCGTTCTCTCCTTTGCTGGCCAGCGTGCCGAGCCTCACGAGGTGTACGTGATGAGACGTCGATGCTGTGCTGCTCCGGACAATTCCATGCCGAAGCGTAAGAGGGGGGAGCGAAGGCAAGGAGGGAGGATGCGTACCACCTGCGCACGGACGGGAGCGCTTGCAAGCCTTCGTTCGGGGGGATGCGCCATCTCAACGTGGCCGGCGAGGAAGACAATACGCCCAAGGGGAATGATCGAAGACGAAGAGGGCGGGTATCGAAGGGCTCATACACGTGATGAATCACACCTGGACAAATAAGAACGAACATCTTCGAAATATTAGTATTGCTGTTGTTGTCGTCGTCCTTGCCTGCGACCCGCCCGCGACCCACCCCGCGACCCACCCTGCGACCCACCCGCGACCCATCCCGCGACCCACCCCTCACTCTTATCCGCAACTGCGGGGTGCTATGCAAGGTCCTGGACGCCTTAGGAACCCAATAGAACTACCAACACCATCACCGAGATCGGGATCAGCTCCGTCGGTGGCGGAAACCTGCCGATATGGGTGTTGGCGCCAACTTCAAGGCCTACGACAGAAGATTCTGGATGATGATATGCTCCGATGTGATGAGTCATCTTGAGCGTCCAGGGGCGATCTTCCCACCACCCCTTTTTGGGCGCAGGTGGTTTAGAGCGTTTCCTCTTTCAACCTCCTTCTTCGTCTTCGTGGGGAGGTTTACATTTTCCATATAAATATGCACCCCTGCCCCTCCCGACGGAGGACACACCTGGGACAATGCGCCCCCCCTCCCGTCGTCCTTGTCCAGGGACCATACACGGTGCACGGTGGGCAGCATATTGAATCATGTGCGGGGGGGGGGGGGGGCGAGCACTTTGTGTACACTCGACCAGGATAGTAAGGATGCGCGGCAAGATGCAAGGGCCCTGGAACGCCATGCTGACGTTTTTTATCGTGCGGAGCGCAGCAGGATGCCGAGGGCGAATACCGAAGGGGCAAGGATGCAAGGGTAGCCTGGGAGAGTTGCCCCGTCCTTACTGTCATGATGGTTGACTGTACTGTCTCCTCCTCCTCCTCCTCTTCTTCCTCCTCCTCCTCTTCCTCCTCCTCCTCGCTCCTCCTCCTCCTCCTCCTGCTCCTGCTGCTCCTGCTGCTCCTCCTGCTCCTCCTCCTCCTCCTCCTCCTCCTCCTCCTCCTCGCTTCCAAACCACCATGTGGTGTTGGGTCCTCGTTTCGAAGAGACAGCGCCCCGCGTCCCTCCCACCTCCTCGTCTCGCCTGCCCCTGCTCGCTCCCTCCGTCCCCCCGCCCCTGCCCTTCGGCCAACCCTCCCCAGCACACCCCCATCACACGCTTCCCGTCCCCATTGGGAGCTCCACCGCAGGCCCCACTGACTGCGTTCGCACGCGCCCGCCGCACCCAGTCCAGCACACCCCTCACACGCTCGATGGCCCATACGTATATATATATATATATACACAAGACTGCAGTGGCGCTTCGCGCCATGCACCTTGGTCCTTGAAATTTGGTATGCAGGCGGAATGGCAGGAAGGTCGAGCCAACAATTTAGCGATAACTCCTTGTTGCCTTTTCCAGCATCGCCGCTAAACTGATGTTATTCGTTATCCTTCCTCCATGCTTCTTTTTCCTCGTTCTCAACGTGCCCTGCGCATTTTCCCCATCCTCCTTAGCTCTTTTTGCGGAGGCTCCTCCTTAGAGAGCTTCTGCGGGCCTCACAAAAGTTTCAGGCTTTCTGAAGGCCTTCTGGAGGCCTCCTGGGCGTGTTCTGGAGGTTCTGGGGGCTTCCGTGGGCCACCCTGCCTCCAACCGCGGTCTCCCTGAACGACCGGGTCACGATTTGGAATGCTTCGGAGGGCGTCTTGGGGCCGTCTTGGGCCGCCATGGAGCTCTCTTAGGGCCATATTTGACCCCTGTTGTGCCGTTTTGGGGCTCTCTTGCACTGCCTGAAAGCCCTTTCGGATTGTTGTGGGGCGATTTTGGAGCCTCCCAAACTGCTTCGGACGCCCAGAAGACTGCCGTATCGGAGCGTCGGGAAGCCGAAAAGAGAACCCCAAAATTCACCAAAAACCCACATAAAATGAATGATTGTTGCCTCTTGGGGCCTTCTTGGGAGTGCTCTTGGAGGCTTTTTTGAAGCCTGTGGGGCCGTCCTGGAGGCCTCTTGGATCATCTTGAGGTCACGTCGGTCACTCTTGGAGCGCTCTTGTGCTGTCTTGGGGGTCTCTGGGACGTCTCCGATGACCCCCCCGATCGCGCTAGGTGTGCTGGGAAGGCTTGGCAGAACGCCTGGGAGGCCCGGGGGGCCGCTTCGAGGCCCGTCCGGAGGGTCCCAAAGCCCCAGATCCCGGGAGTCCAGTTTTGTGTGGGGGGGGTCCCCCCGCCCGGGCTATAAAAATGTTGGAAGAGGAGAATATATATATATATATATATGTATATATATGTACATATATATATATATATATATGTATATACAATGTGTATAAATGTTTGTGTATATAGATACATGTATACATATGTGTATGTCTAGATGTATCTATGTGTATATATATATATATATACATATGTATATATGTATATATGTATATATGTACATGTGCATATATGTATATATGTATATATGTATACATGTATATATGTATACATGTAATCGACAAAAAACACGAAACATAAAAAACGAAGGCCCGAAGGGCTGCATTCGCATGTGCCGGCCGCGCCCTGTTCGGTACACCCTTCACGCCCCGCTGCCCCACGGGGAGGCCCACCGAGAGCCCCAATGGCTGCCTTCGCGTGCGCCCGACGCACCCACGCCGGGCACGCTCCGCACACGCCTCGTGGCCTCATAGGGAGCTCCACCGACAACTCCCAGGGTTATACGCAGAAAGTATCTATACACCACCATCGTGCCAGGCCAGGGCCATCCTGGGCCCTAGGATGGTGTATACACACTCCTGCATGGCCGAGCCAGGCGGGTCTATACACCATCCTACGGCCCAGGATGGCCCTGGTCTGGCACGGTGGTGTATAGATAACGTCGTCAGAGGTTACTTTCGCAGACGCCCGCCGCA